AAGGCTCGACTTTATGTTTTGTTTATTTTGCAAGCTAAGGGCTTTACATGTATTAGTTTTGAAAACTACTTTTGTTGTAACCGGGCTAAGCCTTAGAACTTGTAGCCTCTAGGGCATGAAACTGTATTTATTTAACTCTTATTATGTAATCACATGCTATAGATTCATGTCATGGGAATGATGAATGTATGAAGGCATGTGATCACTTTTGTTAAATCGCAAGTGGACTCTATGAACAAAATATGGGGATTGATGTCAATGTTAATTATTGAAGTTTTGAGTATATTTATCATTTTCATATGCTAAATCATGATGATAATGGGAATCGATGACAAATGTCAATTGATTTAGATATTTCAGATGTTAATATATTTTGGAGGCGTTACAAGATACGAGGTGAAGAGTTTAGATTCAAGCTACCCAATTCCCTTGAGCTCAACCAAACTTCACTCAAAATCACTCTAAAAATATTTTGAATAGCTCTTAAATCAAGAACCCACACCTTAGCTCATAAGGAGGAAGATCAAAGCTTGGTCACACAACAATGGAGTGAGGAAAAGTAAAAATCAAAGGAAGATAGAAAGGGAGGGCCAGGGGTTGGCTGGTAGATGTGTAGAAGATTCTGCTTTCTGCCTCTAAACCTCCCTCAAAGATTTATAACATCTATATCTCCCTTCAAACCCTAACCATGCAAAATCATGCAAAATTGCCAAATGGTGTAAGCCTCAAAAGGTTGTAGAATGGTTGTAAAACTTGCATGATCCAAATGAATAAAGTCACATAAGTTGCAATGGAAAAAATGTGGCCGGTTATAGCAGAGGTGGGGATTTTCTGCCTTAATCTATGTTATTATACAACGCCTCATAGTCAAATCTTCGAATAACTTATTTTCTCCAAGAATTTAAAATTTTAGGAGCCCAAGCACATAATTAATTATTCAAATTTTTTGAAATATGTTAAATAATCAAACACAATATTTTAACACAAAATATTATCTATTAGGTATGGAGAGTCCATTTCTCCAGTCTCGAACCGGAATGAAATGTTGTTCACGAGTATTGATGAAATAATTTATATAGGACATCAAATAGCTAGAGTTCTTATTATAAATAGCTACACACATCAAGGTTCCAAATTTATTAAATAAAAGTTTAAATTGGTCCAGTCTTTCTGAAACTCTTTCTAGTCATCCTTGACGTGCTGTTTTGCGAGGACAGCTGCTTTAATGAGGTTGAGGGACTCTTCAAGATCATCACATATTTGGTGAGGATCAGGAATGGTTTCTTCTTCTGCTGATATTATGAAGATCAATTTGTTGACATAACTTACCGCATGAATCATCAATGCCTGCAACAGATGTAATTGTCAGCTTAATTAATTCAAACACCCATTACTATATTACATTAATGGTCTCTAAAATTTGTAATTTATTATGTTTTAGTGTCCAATTTTTAAAAAAATTTCACTTTAATTCTCAAAATAATTGTACTGTTAATGACTTTTGAATTTTAGGCTAAAATATTAAATTACCAAACGAGGCCGTAAGTTAACGAGTTCGAATATTGGTTAGTGTTGGATTAACAAGAATTTTTAAATCGTTTAATTGCATTGTCACTACTACTCTCGGTATTGTGTAGTGTGGGTCGTTCAATTTAAATTTGTGAAAAAAGAAAGTACATTACCTTCCGAATTTGACTTTGTGAGGCCCACTTAGAAATTTTTGAGTTTTTTTTTTTTTAGATTGCCAAAAATAGGAACAAAGAAACAAATCAAAGAGGCGCCTCTCTCCTAACGAGGGAGCGCAAAGAAAGCGGAACATCCTCCAGCGAGATGGAAAAATTGTCCATAGAAAAAGCCATCCGAGCGAGACAGTGGGCTACTGAATTTCCTTCCCTCTTCACATGCTGAATAGCCCAGGAATGGAATCTAGGCAGCAGAGATTTTGCCTGCTCCACAAAATGCCCAAATGAAGCCAAGGATTTCGAATCGGAGTGAAAGGCACGAACTATTATCAGCGAGTCACCTTCAAGAACTATGTGGTGGAGCCCCAGATCCAACGCGAATTGAATAGCAGCAAGTGCTGCAAAGGCCTCGATGCAATCCACCTCCATCGTTGACACCCGTTTGGCTGACATGGCAGCAATGACAGCACCCGTATGGTCCCGAACCACAATCCCAACACCAATAAAGCCATCAGCAGCAGAGCAAGCCCCATCAAAATTAACTTTAACCATCCCTTCTGCAGGAGGAGTCCAACGAATTTGCAGGAGAACGTGCTGCGGCACTTGAATACGAGTCTGGACAGCGCAAAACTCTTGATAATAGTCAGATGCATACCGAGCAATCTCTACCTCAGTGTGGACCGTGTTATTGAACACCACTTGGTTGCGGTGTGTCCAGATGCACCAGCATATTACCCAAAACAACTCCCCCGTTACTAAATCGACAGATGAAATGAACTCGGAAATCCAGTCGAACAAGGTCCCAACCCGTTTCCGATGAGCAACCAGCGCGAGACTACTGCAGGCCCACACCTTTTTGGCAAAAGGGCATTCGAAAAAACAATGGTGAGTGGATTCAGGAGCCTGATGACAGAGGCCACAATCTGCCATAGTTAAAACCTTCCGGGTTCGTAAGTTAGAGCGCACAGGCAAAATTTCCAAACACAGTTTCCAGCCGAAAACTTTAATCTTACCAGGGATCCGCATATTCCAGAAACTCTTCCAAAAACTAGCCCGAGCCAGCCCACCATTCGACGACGAAGCATGCTCAGATCTACTATGGATACTCATCTCAAGATGGTATGCCGATTTAATCGAAAACTGGCCCTGTTTGGTATAATGCCATACTAATATGTCCTCTGCCATCAACGGACATATAGGAACCATTTTAATAATCTCAATCTCTGAGGGGGGGAAGCAAGCACCAAGCACTCCCTCATCCCAATTCCCCACATCATGATCAATCAAAGCATTTACTGTAGCATTAACGTCCAGGTAAGAAGGAGGGGTGCAGATTTTGAAAGAAAAAGGTCGCGGAACCCATTTGTCCTGCCAAATGCGAATTTGAGCCCCATTGCCCACGCGCCAACGTAAACCTTCCAACAAGAGAGAACGCGCATTCCAAATACTCCTCCACGAAAAGGACGGACTGGCCCCCAGAGGTGCATCAAGAATCGAGCACTGTGGGTAATATTTGGCTTTCAGAACCTGGGCCACCAAACTATTCGGAAATTGAAGAAGTCTCCAAGATTGCTTAGCCAACAAAGCTTTATTGAAAGCCACAATAGATCGAAATCCCATCCCGCCTTCAGGTTTCACCTTACAAAGGGTTGGCCAACTACACCAGTGAATCTTGCGCCTTTCCTCACGTTGACCCCACCAGAATCGTGCAATCATGTCACTAATCTCACGGCACAGTCCATCTGGCAATTCAAAGCAGGAGATTATATAAGTGGGGATAGCTTGAACAACTGCCTTAATAAGAATTTCTCGGCCCGCTGCCGATAAGCACTTTTCCTTCCAACCATTAAGACGTTGCCACACTTTATTCTTTATATAACCAAACACTGCCTTTTTTGACCGACCCACAACAGACGGCATCCCCAAGTATTTCCCACTAGTCACCAATTGGCCCACACCCACTAGAGCTGAAAGGCGAACCTGCTCCTCTAGCCGTACATTCGGACTGAAGCATATCCCGGATTTGTCAAAATTCACCCGTTGTCCAGAGGCCAATTCATATTTCCGTAACAGAGCTTGAACGGTATGCAACGACTGGTCATTTGCCTTAGCAAACAACAAACTATCATCGGCGAAAAAAAGATGGGAAATTTGCGGTCCTCCTCGACAAATAGAGATACCCGAAAGGCGACCCTCTACTTCAGCCCGCCGTATCAGAGCCGATAAAGCTTCGGCACACAGCAAGAACAGATACGGGGAAATGGGATCACCCTGCCGAAGGCCCCGCGAAGGTCGAAAACAACGTGTGGGTTCACCATTTAGAAGCACTGAATAAGAGACACTCGAGACACAATGCATCACCAATCCAACAAATTTTAATGGGAAACCCATCTTAATCATAACCGCCTCCAAAAAGCTCCACTCCACCCGGTCGTAAGCCTTGCTCATATCAAGCTTTAAAGCAAAAAACCCGGTTCCCAATCTTTTATTCTTAAGGTAATGGAACACTTCAAACGCCGTCAATACATTGTCGGTAATAGCCCGTCCGGGAACAAAAGCACTCTGATTGACTGACACAACCGTAGCCAACACGTCCTTAAGCCTATTAGCTAAGACTTTCGAAACTAGTTTATACACAACATTGCACATGCTTATAGGACGAAATTGACTCAGCAATTGTGGGTGTTTCAATTTTGGAATAAGAACAATGTATGTATCATTGATTACAGAAACATCATGCCCCTCATTCAGAATTCCCAAAACAGCCCGACACACATCGCCGCTTACCAAATCCCAGAATTTTTGAAAGAAAAGAGCTGGAGTACCATCAGGCCCAGGGGCCTTTGTAGGGTGCATCTGGAACAAAGCTAGACGAACCTCTTCTGCCACAAAAGGCCGATCCAAATGCTGACCCATGCCTGCAAGTATAGAGGGATTGATGCAGTCAACAACCTCATCCACATTTTGAGAATTATTAGTGGTAAACAAGTCTTGAAAATAGCCTAACACAATATCTTCCAAATCAGCTGGCCGCGAGCACCACTCACCCCTCTCATTTTCCAGGCCTGAAATTGCCTTCTTCTTCTGCCATTGGGAAGCCTTCGCATGGAAGAAGGCAGTGTTTCTATCCCCATCCTTCAACCAATTTGCACGAGCCCGTTGAGCCCACATCACCGATTCTTTTTCAAGGAGCTCATCTACCTCTAATTGGACATGACGCAACGCCTCCATCTCAACAGCACTAAGAATCGGCAGAGCTTGTAACCGTTGGATGTAAGCCAACTTCATATGCAGCGTACGTTGCACATTACCCAGAACCTACCAATTCCAAGCTTGCAACTGAGAAGCCACTGCTCGCAATTTACCTGACACAAGCTCAACCCCAGAGAGATTACTATCTTGGTGCCATTCCCTTGTAATGATGCCTTCACAATCCTCCTCTCGCAACCACATTGCTTCAAAACGATACAACTTTCGGTATTTCGGCCTGTGGGCCATCTGAGCTTTAACCCCTTCCAGATCTAACAATATAGGAAGATGGTCAGATGATGTACCTCCCAAATGGTAGACCCGAGCCATCGGAAAAGAATTTAACCACCTCTCATTGACCACACATCTATCCAAACGTTCCCGGATCATACCATCCCCCGCCCGACCATTACACCAAGTGAAAGCTGCCCCTTCAAAACCCAGATCAGCTAAGTCACAGTCAGAAAGGACCTGGCGGAAGCCATCCATCTGCCTTTGACTTCTTGCCGCCATTCCAGATTTTTCATGGGCATACAAAATTTCGTTGAAATCTCCCGCACACAACCATGGCAGGTGCATCTGATCCTGAAGGCGTCGCAACAGTTCCCACGAATCACTCCGTAGAGAAGCGATCGGGTTTCCATAGAACCCAGTAAAACACCATGATGCAACCCCAGACTCAGAAAGGATAATTGAATCAACATGGCCTCTTGAAAAGCTCTTAATCTGTAGCTGAATTTCACCAACCCATAATAATGCTAAACCCCCCGAGAGCCCCACACGATCAACCGTAAAACACCTCTGCAACCCAAGTTTACAACGAATCCTCTCCATAGCTCTAGCATCAAGTTTGGTTTCCACCAAGAAAACCATAGTAGGCACTTCCTTCTTCAACAAAAGCTGAAGAAAACGAACTGTCCGTGGGTTCCCAAGCCCACGACAGTTCCAACAGAGGATTTTCATGGCTGTCGGCGGGGCTGGGTCCCAGCCACCACCGTTGAATCCAGACCGACCACAAGATCATCAAGCCGAGCTCATTTCTCCTTGGAATCACCTTCATCTGCTAGAACCTTCTTATCTATCAAGCTCCGTTTGAGACCTACGTGTAAAGCATCAAGCCCAAAATCCCCGATTTGAGAACGAGCTATTTTCTTCCATTTCTTCCCCACCCTACCAGCTGGTGCTAATGAAATAAGAGGCTCCTCTCTGGTCACCAATTCGGAAGGTTGTGTCACTAACCCTGGGTCTATTTCCATCGAATGAGAGGGCAAAAATGGGCCTACACAATGAGCCTTCGCAGACGAGTCCAAACTCCCAGTGTCCCCCGTAGGCAGAGCCAAGTTGGGCCCCAACACATAGGCTTCATGAATTACATCATGAAGTAACTCAGCTTCCTGAATGGGCTTTTGCAGACCAGAGGCCACCTTTTCCTTAACGAGCCCACCTTGAGGAGGCCCAGATTTCAAAAAAACATCATTCAGCACTCGTTCCCGCTCACTCTCCTTTTGGGAAGGCACTAAATCTCCAACGCCCCCAGTCAGCGCCAAAATCTGCTCATGTGTAGATGCGGATTGATCACCCTTTCCAAAGGGAGAGGCTCCTTCCAAAACAGGAAGGGACGCAACCACCCCTGGTCCCGTCTCACGGTGGAGTTCTGTCTCCGGCACCGACAACCCAGCAGCACCATCCTTCCCTCTGTTCTGACTACGGCTCGCAGCAGGAGACGGAGGGTGAGGTCTCGTCTTTTGAACATCCGCACGCAGCCATGGTACATATTGCATTGCTTTATCAGGGCCAGTCTCTGGGTGTGACAGCAGCGTATTGCATTCCTTCTCACTATGCCCCAAAAGACCACAAAAATAACAGAAGTTTGGTAATCTTTCATATTTAAAATTCACCCAAACAGACTCCCTGTTATGGATCGCAAGCTTCATGCCCCGGCGCAACGGCTTAGCCACATTAAGTGTGACTCTTATGCACATATATCGGCCAACTGCCAGGCCACCAGCTCCATATTCAACATCCAGAGTAGAGCCAATCTTATTCCCAATCAGATAACCCACCTCCTTAGTCATACTGAGGATAGGCAGATTATGAACCTGGATCCAAAAGGCAATCTCAGATAGTCGGATCTCGGAGGGTTGAAGGTGCACATCCACCTCATTCAAGAGAAGAAGGTGTTTATCAAAACTCCATGGGCCATTAAGCATCACCCGACGTTTATCCGCTATATGGTGAAATTGAAACAGGAACAAATTATCGCCAATGACATGGAAGTCCATCCCTTGCACTGGTCTCCAAATCTGCAGGAGCATAGACTTCATAGCCTCTGTATTGAAAGGTCGAGTGGTCAGCACCTTTCCCACTAAACCTAACCCAGCCCTCTCAGCAACGGACGTGGTTAACGACTCATCCATGACCACAGTATCTTGTTCATCCGTCGTAAGAGTTAACCGACTAGCAAGATCGGCAATAGTGTCGACCATAACGCCAATTACAGCGGACCCAATATTCACCCTAGATGGCGAGAAAAACCTTGCACCGATGGGCAAGACCTAACCCCTACTGGAGATGCCCTAGAGAGAGCATCGCTAGAGAGGAAATCCTAGAAGAAGATTATTAATTTTAGAAATTTTTGAGTTTTAGTTACTATTGATTTTCAGTATTAAAATTTTGTTTAAATATAATTTTTGGCGTTTTATTTAATTAGTTTAAACTTAATTATTTTAGTTCATATTTAATTAGGTTATTAGTGGGGATCACTTTGAGTCTATTTAAATTATTTTATACTTTAATCTCAGTTAGAGATTTATTCTAAATTATTAAATTTCATTTAATTTTTTACCTAATTGATTAAATCATAGTTCGTTTGTATCCATTTATTATTATTATTATTATTATTTCATTACTATGAGAGTTATGAATATTTATGATATGTACCATCAAATGAATATATTTTATGATTAAAATAAAAATGCCATTCTAGGATTTATATTACAAAATGTTATGTTATGATTACAATATAACTTTAATTATATATTTAAAGTGTAGGTATAGATCATATATAAAGTTGTGTTCTTTCCTTCTGTAGATGGCACATCCTAAAAGTTTGTTTTTTTTATAAAAAAAAAAAAGTTACATCATCATACATTTTCCATTTATATATAAAATTTTTAAAAAAATTAGTCTAGAGTCCCTCTTCCACTTTTCGTAATGGAAGAGATCCACAAAATTATTTTTTGATGTCTAAGGTCCCTAAATATATATCGGAGAAATTTGACTCTTAGAACTAAATGAAGAAATGGCCGAAATGTTGTTCCCAAAGAGGCGATTTTGCTTCTGCGTCCCTTGTCTCGACGGTTCGAACAGATCAGCGGTGGTGGAAGTGCAGTGGTGGCAGAGAATGAGGACGAAGGAGCTGCCATGCCACAAAGAGGGAGATAAGTTGAGTACTTGACTAAAAAACTAACGGAGGCAAACAGATTCACAAGCTCACAAGGCACTCCACTTTGTCCCAAATCTCAATTGACGACCAAATGGAAAAAAGGAAAGAACGGAGTGGCAACATTGGCCGACATTATTGACCGACGGTGTCGCTCCACAATCACATCATACTCATGTTCTCACTGTAACGCCCTCAAAATAAACTCAAAAACAGACATCCATGATACAAGAAAGAGATATCACATTTCATAAATCAGAGTATTCTTACAGAATGTATTACATGTTGACAACAAAAGCAAATGCCCTACGGGCTTATAACTTTCCAAGTCAACACTTGGTTATGAAAAGGAGAGTACTAACTCTACACAAAATAAGCCCTTGGCTTGATATACATGTAATACAAAAAGTAATCAAAAAGGTCTCTCAGCCACTAAGCCTCCCAAGCTACGTCCTTGGAGGTGGCATGTCACTTGTACCTGAAAATGATGTCCCAAATAGGGTGAGCCAATGCCCAGTAGAGATATGCTAAACATAATATGAGCAATAACTAAAACATTAGCACTTGATAAATGTTTAACTCATATAAACCAACATACAGTACAATCCAGTTCCATAATCCTTTACTTATCCAATTCTCAACTTATAAACACGGCTCAGAACCTGGCCAAATAACTTAAATGAGACTACATCTCATGCCAACAATACTTCAAACTGCCATTTTACGGAAATTGCATTCGCGGGATTCGGCACCCATGTATAATTATTTTTAAGTTTCCATTTTACGGAAATTCTGTCTGCGGGACTCAACACCCATGTATAAATATTTTCGAATTTGCCATTTTACGAAAATTTCATCCGCGGGACTCGGCACCCATGTATAAATATTTTCGAATTTGCCATTTTACGGAAATTTCATCCGCGGGACTCAGCACCCATGTCTAATATTTTCAAATTTGCCATTTTATGAAAATTTCATCCGCGGGACTCGGCACCCATGTATTCGAATACATATCATATACAATGACCAATCAATACACATATTTGCTGTATTATTCCAACCGTCATACTCAATGACATACTGAAATTGATTAGTTTAATTCACCTAATCATCATGCAGTGTCTACAACAATCAAGATTATCGTCCACCGATAACCCAAAACAGTTATTTCTAAACAGATAATAAATGCATCAACAGATAAATTATCAACAATTCTCAAAGGTGAGTGATTATTAGATCCAACTCCACCATTCTATTACATAATGAGCCAATTTCATTATTCCCAACTCAATTTCATATTTCCATAACATTCCGAAATTAATTATATAAATTAATTCATAACAAAAATTAGGGTTTTTTCCTATCTTTCTCAACATTGGCCAAAAGGCTCGAATATCAACAATGACCTCATTTGAGACCCGAAATACACATGTAATGGCCCAAAGAAGAAAACCCCTCTTTAAACAATTGAAACCCTAACACCCAAAGTTACCCAACTTCAACATCATATCAAAATGACTAAAATTTTATATCAAAGATCATAAAAATGAGTAGTTATCCCTACCTCAAATTCGGACCTCAAAAGAGGAGGTGAAGAAAATCAAAAGTGCTCCAAATCCCAAGATTTTCGAATTGATAGGTAGCCCAAGCCAAGCTCTACACTTTTTGCAAAGGGACAAGGCTAGAAACACACTAGAACTAGATCAAACCTTAGAGAGAAGGTGAAATGTAGTGAGAGAATCTCTCAAAATAGGTTTTTGAAAAGTAAGAGAGAGAGTGAGAGTTGAAGAAGTGATCTAAAATGACCCAGCTGCCAACTAATATACGTATGACCCGCTTGAGCGGAGAATAGGACGCTCGAGTGTCAAACACAAAAACTGGACCCGCTCGAGCTCAATAATACCCGCTCGAGCGCCAAGACACAACTGCAAAACTCCACCTGCTCGAGCACAAAGGAACACCCGCTCAAGCATAGATTACACTCTTCCAGTACTTTTACAGACATCGAACACCCGCTCGAGCGCAAGGATACCCGCTCGAGCGTAAAGAAATCCGCTTGAACGAGAAAAACACATCTGCAGTATTTTTGCAAACGGACAAACTACTGAAGGTATGCAAACTCCGCTCGAGCGCAAGAAGACCCGCTCGAGCGAATCACTAAAAATCTGGCCAACAAGAGTTGGGACAAAAGCTCAACCAACCTGTTTGAAACACGCCCAAGACAATTCTAAACTCAAATACAGAGAGTTAAAGAACGAAAATAAAATACAGACAAAAACAATTATCAACGGAACCGAGTCCGGAATACAGTAAACATGAGAGGGAAAACCGGGATCGCTATAACCTCCCCCCCTTAAAGAATTTCATCCCCGAAATTAGATACAAGTTTCAAAAACATGTTTTTATTTCTCAATTATCAACAATATTACAATTCAATATATATCAACCTGACCCATCACCGGTCATACCATCCCTTCTCAAGGGGAAAATTACAACATATTCTACAACATACATTATCAAC